GTGTCAAATTTTATGTGCAATGCGCGAAGTATCCTCGCAGTATTGTAGGCGCCAGGGAAAAAATCGCGTAATGATCGATCATGTCGCTACCGATTAATCGCTCGGTCGATTAGTTGCATGTTTCGACCATCGATCATATCGAACATGCCCAGTCGGAAGTTGCGAGGAGATCGGATTGAGGATCCTTACGGAGCGGGTGGAAATGCGCGCGGTGTGTGAGGTGCGAGCGATGAAGGGGGGGGGGGAGCTTAACGGCGGTAACATGATGTTAGCAGTAAATTGGCGCCTATGAGTAGCGCCACGCTTGTAGCTCCGGATGATTGTAACAACTCGTCGCTTGACTAATTGATTCAGATTTGCAGCCCCCCCTCCCCCTCGCCCGCTCCCGTGGAAGAGGGCATGACCACCCCTTTCTCCGCCCCCCGTCTATTGTGAGTAACGTGACGCCGCGCCGTTGCGAACGTGGACGTTGCCGTATCGTTGGACGTTGATGGGCGTCGGACCCGTTTGGCTTCAAATTCGGGTCCATCCCTGAGGGCTGATCGGCTAATGGGATAGACAAAGCCTTAGACAAAGGGAAAGTGGACATGGGCGTAGTTAGTGGGGTCGAAGGGCTCACCCCTGCGGGCTGATTATTTAAATGGATGGACAAAGCCATAGGCAAAACAGACGAAGGGGAAATGAATCAGTGAGTTCGAAAACACACCAACTCGGGTTTTTTTCGATTTTCACTTTTTTACGGTTTAGTAATACTCATGGTTAGAAGCATCTGCACGCATAAGGAAATTTCGAAATCGCATTCGGAAATGCTCGAAACAGCGACGGGGAAAGGGAAAAATCGAAGTATTTCATTGGAAAAAACATTTTTTGGCCATTTCAAGGGAAGCAGGTGACCATCCGATTTTGTGGTTTTCTTTTTTCGGTTCAGTATACCTTGTACCAACAAGTTATGTAAATATTCAAGCGTTATTCAGGTCAAAAAATACAAATTTTTCAGGGCAGATTATGAAAAATCAGTATCTGAAAGTCGGTGAGGACGAAAACACACCAACTCGGAAATTCTTAAACGCTTAGTTCTCTCTCATAAAACATAGTGTATCGATTTCAACTTGGTGCTTTAGAAAGTCTCTAAGTACTTGTCCTTTGACACCATAAAGGTTTTTCTTAAACTAACTTCTTCGCCCGCTGCGCAGTTTTAGGTGTTTCCTGAACAATTTTTTTTCCCCCGAGTTGGTGTCCTTTCGAACTCACTGATTCAAATGGACATGGGCGTAGCAAGGGGGTCCAGTGGGCTGGTCATTGAAATAGATCGACGAAGCTATATACAAAAAAAGACACAGGGAGGATGCGGAGCGAGTCCTTTTGGTTGAAATGAGTGGTTCCTATAGACTAACGGGGAAAATGATGGTCTAACCATGCGGCCTCACGTGGGTTGCCGTTAGTTAGTCTATTGCCTACGCCTACCTCCTTTGTCCATTGCAACCACCCGCTTCCACTAATAGAATCCCTCCTCATCCCTTTTGTCTTCTTTGTCCATAGTTTTGTCTATCAATTGAAATAATCAGCCGGCAAGGGAGGCCTGACTCCCCTAGAATTTAAAATAGTATGATCTGCCCCCTTAGAAATTTAGTCTGGTTGAATGATTTCTACGTCAACTGTAATTCTATGTCGCAGTGTATAATCTTTTTGACAATTCAAAAGTATTTTGAAAATGCTTAAAACATTGCGTTTATGTCCAGGAATAAATTGAAAATTTGCATCACGGAAGCCTCAAAATGTACACAAATAGAGTCAAAATTTTAAAAAATTTCAGGTGGACTAATATCCCCCAGACCACCCGGTGATAGGGGTGCCAATGTGAATGGTAGCCCGCAACTCAAGTTGGGGTAGTACCGCAACATTTGGGTTCGTAACCTAATTTATCGGGGTTTTACCACAATTAATTAGGAATGTCCATATCATCCAACAGTTGGGATTTAACCCCTACCTTTTTTTCCGTGGATGGATGACGTCATCAATCGAGTTTTTCAAGGCGCGATATCTCGGTTAATATTTAACGTAGAACGTTGCTATTTGGAAAGATGTTATTTTTTTTTAGTTGATCTGCAAGAATAAATCATCAAAACACGACTCTGTGACCAGCGCAACTGACCCATCGTGGTTTCTAATTGCAAAATGTCGTCCAATTTACAGAAAGATGCCCCCGATTTTGCCTCAAAATTTCACGTAATCACGTGCAAGCTCGGCAAAACTGTCCATAAGTTCAAAAGTCAAGCTTTTTAAAAACTAATTAGCTTGCGGCTGAACGCGTCCTGGATCTCCAGTCATCGAATCTACCTTTTGTTCCTCTTAAAAATACAATCCTGGAGACTGCTCATCAGTCCGCCTCCTAGTTCCTCCTTCGCGCTAATTGTATACAATTCGAACGGCAACTAGTGACGAATCCTCGCTAATAAAAAAGGGCGGAGAGGGCGGTAAAACTCGGAGGCGCGACCCTCTATCGCGAACCCGCGCGCGAAAAACC